TCTGTGATATCATTAAGACTGGTGGGCTCGTTCGTAATAAAGAGAAGTTTGTGAAACGCCGACAACGTTTGGTTGGGCCTAATGGAAGTGAGTCTGAGAGCATCGCATAGAATATTATGTTCTATTGCGCAAGGTACACTGAAAGCCATCGAACTGTTAACTCAGTGCTATGTTCTAGTACAAGGACAAACTGTTGTTGCCATGGGTACTCACAAAGCCTTGAAACAAGTGAGCTCGCCGGCTCCATTTCCTGATCGTTATCACTCCCAACAGGTCCGTCGGATAGTTGAAGATTGCTTCCACAATGTTCACCCAGTATATCATGTGAAGGAGTTGATGATTAAGAAGGAGCTCGAGAAGAATGAGGATCTCAAGGATGAGAACTGGGATCGATTCCTACCACACTTCAAGAATCGGAATGTACTTAGACACGCTATGACTTATAGTTGCGATCTCGTTCTTCGGTGAGCGGTTTCCTTCTTACTGATGGTTGATAGGTACAGCGTAAGAAGCAAAAGAAGATTGCCAAGAAGAAATCCAAGGAGCTATTCCCTCCTGAGCAATTACCTCGTAAGACGTACTGACGGAATGAGTACAGGCATGCATTCTTCCATTCACAGGCAAGGAGGATATCCAGATCGAGACCGGTGAATACTTCCTCTCGAAGGATCAGAAACATTCCAATGAGATGACTAAGAAACGCGAACATCAGAAACAAGTGACTTTCCGACCCTGAGCCCGGTAGTGGTCATGCTCGGGGTTTCGTAGGTATCTGAGCAGCGCAAGAGGGAACGGGAGGAGATGTACTCCCAGCCTCCTCCAGAGAAGATTCGAAAGAGCAAGCAATAGATAAGCAGTTGATATGATGTTTACTGCCTTGCCGGAGGTCAACAAGCTTTGACATACGTTTCTACCAACATACTTGGGCGTTGGAGTTAGTAACATAATCATATTCTCTCGAAACTCAGTAGTTTACATGCCTTCACCTCTCGCTAATGATGGAAGACGCTGTGAATGTAGTATTACTCGCGCCTTTTCATATCCGATCCAAGACTATGGAAAGCCGTGCGTGTTTGAGAAGTACTCTTATAGTTCGGGGCATGGATATTATAATGTGGTAGCATTGAAAAGGGATTAGAACGACGAGAAGTCCGTCCTATTATAAAATCCTAGTCTTCGAGAAGGAGCTTATAAGTCCCGCATATATAATGGGAGTTATCCAAGAGCACGCCATGGTGTGCACGAGCAGATAGGTATCCAGAATCTTGCTGCGAGGGGCACGAGGAGGAGGAGAAGGAGAACGATGCTAATGATGATCAAGCAGCATGCGAGTTGGCAATTAGTTGTCTTAGACGTCCCCACTGAGTTACGCTATGGGGTCTCTGAACAGAGGGCAGCTCGTCCTCTGTGCTGTCGTTGTCGTCGTCCTTGTGGTCGGTTTGGATACCACTCATCTCTCTTGGCTGCTGTTGGGAACCTCCTTGAGGATCTTTAGAGGATGCATCTATTATGTTTCCATCCTTTCTTGTTAGTGCATTACCATTCCCTATGGTGCACCGTAAGGCTACTCCAAAAGCACGTCGAGAGCGTGTGTCGATGGATACTACAACTCCTCCTCAGCAGCAGCATGAGGTCGCCAATGCAGATGAGGAGACCTCAGCAGTCAAGACAAAGACCAAGAAGGGTAGTCGGAGGGGTAGTCGGGATAGCAGTACCATCGATAGCCCCCGGAGGAAGGAGGTAAGAAGTAGGAGCCAATACTCTCGTCGAACACACTCTGCTGCTGCTGTTGCGATCATCTGGGATTCGATGTCATTGATCCCTATCAGCGGCTAGTCGGTCATATTGTATGGCTTGTTCATTTGTCGATCACTCCCGGGCCTGTTCTCGACCCTCTGCACTCCTTGTTCAGACCAAGCACTCAGCTGGTGGAAAGGCTAAACGGAGTAAGACGGAGAGCCAAGGCGCCTTTCCGGAGCATAGAAGGGTGATTCCCTTAACAGAGGAGCTGCGCGAGGCGATACTGGCAGCTCATTCATCTGGAGTGGTATTGAAGAAGTTAAAGCCAGAGTTCCATCCTGATTTAAAGTGGGTAGATTCTTCACTGACATGTTCTCGGTCTGCAGCCTATAGACCGAATTCTTGATTATGCTGCGTTTTCAGGGTCGAGAAGAGAGTTCCTGCCGAGGCAACGACGACGACGACGACACCAAGTCCACAGCCCGCCCCTGCAGAGAGTAAGGCCTTGAGAGAGCTTGTTACTCTGCAGGGAATGTAAGTCAATGGGCTATGCCTCAACACGTACATGGACTTGTGGTCTATCAGGTACATCAAATTGAAGGACCTTGCTCTCCATCAACATACTGATATAACACGTTTACAGGCTGAGAACCAGGCCGTCAATGCAGCCCTACAGCGTACTTTGGCTAAGTGCAATCTATATAAACAACAACTCGACTACCAAATGCAACGACAACAACAACAACGGGTAGTAGTGTCGAGGGAATCGAAGTTGCTTCAAATGATGCTCTGTCAGGCCTCCAATCAGTTCCAGAGTGTGGACCATTCGAGGGGTTCCGCGAACACCATAGCATTATTGCAACAACTAGCGGCTAGTGGTGCCATGGACACGAGTGGAACTCAGCAGCCATCGGCATCTGCATCACCCATACATCTAGGAGCATTCTCTGCTACTGTGCCCTCCGCAAGCTCAGTACCCAGTCTTTTCCCAGTACTCAGGCAGGATAGCTTTGGAGGTAGATGATGAACCATCTTATGTTACAACTTGTCTTGAGTCTGCAACCTTTCAGAGGCAACTCCGCAACTGCCACAAACGGCACAGATGAGTCCGACAATTGGCAATGCAAATCTAAGTCACTTACTACGGTACGGTATATCCGGTGTCGTTCTAGCATGAGCTTTCCTTCTCAGGCAAAACATGCCATTTAATGAACCCAATAGGCCCAGCCCACCACCATTCACCTTGCCAACATTGCCTTCAGCGAGGTTCGATGCGAGCGGACAACTGCAGACTTCTCCTCAAGCTGGTTCAGGAGAGCCGAATAAGATATTTAATACTGCGGCAGGGTCGGGGGAGCATCACCAAAGTTATACCAGTTCCCCGTCTCTCAATGGCTCCGCCATGAGTACTCCAGACAGTGGTCTCCCTCCGAGTGATCAGGGAGGGCCAGGCGCACCTGAGGACAGACCGGCTGAGGCTTCGACTACTGTGGCAGCACCGCCTATCGACCAAAGCACCGTTGCTGATGCAGAAACTAAACCGGGTTGTGGTGAGGAGACTGAGGTGGTGTAGCATGCTATCAGGGTAGAGTATTAGATTATTGAAATTTCATGAGAGTCGTTTCCCCTAACTCAGTTCGTCTCAGTGATGTTGGTCTCTTTATTATCACCTTGGAATTCCAACTGCATTATTGGGACAGTCCAGAGAGTCTATCTACTAGCTCCCTGTTCTCTCCGCTTCTCTTACATTCGACTGCTGGTCGCACGTATCATATCGTCTACGGCCCTATCGGAGATAGGCATGGTTGTCAGTGCAACATTTGAAATCTCATTTGCACTGTAGATAATTCTGGGACTCGTTGTGTTGTGTTCATTGTGTATGAGAGAGAATCACCTGTTCTTGTAAGCACGTGTTTCGAAAAGTTATCACTTCAACTCCTAAGTTTGGCTTATTCGCCGCTTATTTGTTACTTTGAATGTCGGTCGTCGCACACTCTCCAGAGGTACGAGGCGAGGTTTTCGGCCAGAGTAAAATGCGGAAGCTACGGAAACAGAGAGATATCGTGAAGAACCCTCATGCGTGGATTAATGGAGCGCTACAGCCTCCTACGAGGAAGTCCGGCAAGTTCCCAAAGCATCCTATAGCATGCGAGGATGGTGGGGTACGTAACTTCGACTGGAAGCACTTCGTTTGTAATCTAGAGGATGAGGCCACATGCCAGGACTTGATTGGCTGCGGAATCATTGACTGTTCTTGTAAAAATCGTGGTGGACAATTACGTCCGGTGTTGGAGCGGGCTGACGGGTCTGAAGTTGTCTTGTTGGGTATGTGCTATCTGGTGAATCAAGAAGACGAGTTGAAGCATGTTATTGCCAACTCGGCAACTGTAATGACTTGCTATACGGAGGCACTGAGGGAACTCGAGAAGCACATCAAGAAGTTGTCTAAGTTGACTGAAGGACGATTATCGACCCGCGATATCATCCACGGGTTATTATTGCGATTTTCTCAACATCTCTTTGGTGTGGCCAACATTGACATAATATGCTCTCATCGTGTCACGGAGTTGAAGTATATGCCTAGAAAACGTGGCTCTAAACTAACTATTGCGAAGAAGGCTCTGGTCGATCAATGGCGAGACTTTGTGGCAGATGAAGTATGTGATGAGCAGACTGTATCGATCGCCGAGAAATTGGCTTCGGATCCCGGTGAAGGGAAGTCACTGGTAGCGGCGAAGAAGTTGAGGCTCAGAGCACTGATTATAAGAAAGTCGGAGTATTGAAATGCGACGACGCTGTAGAAGTATCTGACCCTCTAGTATTACTCCCCACCCCTGCAGGAGGTTTGATGCTTCGGGTAAGCGATGACATTACATCAGATCATAGATCATTCGGGTACCTTCCTGAATGTGCTCCGATATTCAGGC